CACAAGAGTGTCCTACAAGAGTGTCCCACAAGAGTGTCCCACAAGAGTGTCCCACAAGAGTGCCCCGCAAGAGTGTCCCACAAGAGTGTCCCGCAAGAGTGTCCTACAAGAGTGTGCCGCGAGAGTGTTCCACAAGAGTGCCCTACAAGAGTCTCTCACAAGAGTGTCCCACAAGAGTGGCCTAGAAGAGTCTCCCACAAAAGTTTCCTGCAAGAGTGTCCCACAAGAGTGTCCTACAAGAGTGTCCCACGAGAGTGTCCCACAAGAGTGTCCCACAAGAGTGCCCTGTAAGAGTGACCCACAAGAGTGTCCTACAAGAGTGTCTCACAAGAATGCCCTATAAGAGTGTCCCACAAGAGTGTCCTACAAGAGTATGCCACAAAAGTTTCCTACAAGAGTGTTTCACAAGAGTGTCCCACAAGAGTGTCCCACAAGAGTGTCTTACAAGAGTGTCCCACAAGAGTGTCCCGCAAGAGTGTCCCACAAGAGTGTCCCGCAAGAGTGTCCTATAAGAGTGTCCCGCAAGAGTGTCCCAAAAAGAGTGTCCCACAAGAGTGTCCTACAAGAGTGTCCCACAAGAGTTTCCTACAAGAGTGTCACACAAGAGTGTCCTACAAGAGTGTCCTACAAGAGTGTCCCACAAGAGTGTCCCACAAGAGGGTGTCACAAGAGTGTCCTGTAAGAGTGACCCACCAGAGTGTCCTACAAAAGTGTTTCACAAGAGTGTCCTACAAGAATGTCCGACAAGAGTGTCCCATAAGAGTGTCCCACAAGAGTGTCCTATAAGAGTGTCCCACACGGAGTGATTTGTGGTATCAAGAGTATCCCGCAAGAGCTTCCTACAAGAGTGACCCACAAGAGTGTCGTGTAAGATTGACCCACAAGAGTGTCCCAGAAGAGTGTTCCACAAAAGTGTCCTACAAGAGTGTCATTTGGACATATGTAGCTTTTCGAACGTGTTTGCATTCGGGTTCGTGGGCTCCATCTTGTTTTTACCCATAGAAGAGAACATATTTCGTTCTATATACAAGTATTTGCATGTCTAGTGTTGAGCAGTGACTGACAACCCTGCAAGGCAGAGTTTGCGGCGATAGATGATGTCGGCCAATAAGGTAAGATTGGTAGCCAAAGTGCTCTGGCTTATCTGATAACTTCTTAAATGTCTTCACAGGCCTTGGTGGAGTGTGTGAAAAGGGAGGGGGGCTTCATGTTCTTCCTTGGCTGCGGGCTATCAGTCTGACACACTTGTTCTAGTGCTACTTCCAATGCTTTTATCGCACGGCTTGCAGCAATTGACAATCCGAAAAACTTGTTTTTTGTCAAGGGCGATGCTTTTCTGAAAAGATTGAACCTTGTTCCAGAGTTGCAGTCAAATTTCTATATATAGTATAATCTGAATATTGACAACTTGATGTGTAGCATTTCTGGCAGAGGAAAGAGCATCGTTAGGCAAAGCTTGGAAAGCATGTTCTCCTTAAGGATGCAAAGCGCAGCTGGCAAGTTCAATGGCCTTTGCTTCATGCACTGACCTTGCTTGCACCATATGTACTGATGTAACACACGTTGTGAGTGAATACGTTGTCCAGTTGGCTGTGGCTCAAGTTCAATCAAGATGCAGCGGAACATGCCGAGTAGGGCAGGAAAGCGTTTGCGTCACTTTGCTGCAGCGGTAGCTGCGTCCTCCGCCCACCGCTGGCTGCCCCACCTCGCATCCGGTGGATGCATGGCCACTCCCAGCTTGTCTCAGAGGGTGGACTCGGCGCGGAAGCTTCGTGAGGTCTACCGGCCGGGTTTCGCTTTCCCTCAATGGAGCTTGAATGCTTTGGAGAATGGCCAGCTTGAAGAGTTGGCTCCACAGGTGACCGTGTATTACCCGAAAGATGCAGATGTGGAAGAGGTTCAACAACTGGTCCGGCAGCGTGAGCCTGTGAATATTGCCATGGAACGATGCTATGATGAAGGTAAACTGGAAAGATATTTTGGTTACAGCAGAGGGGCCTACGACAAGAGTTCTTCAGACAGGCTTTTGCCCAATATTGCCATCTACTGCAAGACGCCCATGCAGTCCAAAGATGGACAACGAGAAGAAGTGCATGTGGTGAACGTGATTGGATTTGCGTTTGATACACCCAAGCAGCCAGACTATCAATACTTTGAAGGTGGGAACCGAGATCGCAGGGATCTCGTGAGAAAGATGAGTCACATGTGGGAATATGTTTTCTTTTGTGCCCAAGAGAAGGAATTGCAGCATGTGTTTCTATCCAACGTTGGTGGTGGTGCATTTTCAGCCGGCTTGCGCCACAACTACGAATCGCTGAAAAAGGAGTCTTTGGATCCTGTCTTGAGGCGATATCCGAACATCAAGATGCTTGATTTGCCTCGCATTCCTGATTGGATCTTCTCTGAAGGACGGAGCTTCTGCAACAACAGCTTGCTTGTGAATGCTTGGGATCCCTGGAGCATTGTAGGAAATGGCAATGCAGCCGACAACAGTCTGGACGGCTTTTTCGGCAGAAGCACTGCGATGGCCGTCTTGTGTTGGCCGGAGACGAACCCGTTTTTTAGCCTATCGGTCCGTGCCCGCTCCCGATCCTCAGAACCAGAGGCAAGACGGCCAGCTGCGAAAAAAATGACAGGCTGAGCAACGGACAAGTTGGACTGCCACTGAAGCTCTTAATGTAGAAGTCCCATGAGGGTCCTCAGGATCTTTGCTCCTTTGCTCCTTTTTATCTTGTTGTGTGAATGAACTGAGTGAATCCTTTTTTTGCATTTTTCAAACCTGGATGGAATTTTGTGGAACGCAGATGTTTCTCAAGCAGAAGGCTGTTACAGCTGTGAATGCGTGGGACCATGGAAGAAGGAGACAGGCCAAAACTCAGGTACTTGCTGAATGGAGACGGAGCCTTGAATGTACATAGCAAATGATTTTGAAGAATTGTTGTCCACCTCCAAGTGTGCATGGCACATATGTCATATGTGTATGTCTATATTAAACAATATTGTCAAACGCACGCTCTGTCCCAAGTTCCATAGGTGTGAGCTCGAAAGGTCCATTTGGCCGGAAAACTGGGAGGGCCGGTGTGGGTCTTGAGAGGTGTCGCCATTTGCTGGAAGTGCAGGGGATTTGGTTTAAGGCAGCATTGGATAGAGCGGAGGGCGCTTGGAAGGAGAAAAGGCAGTGCTACATTGAGAGTGCAGGGCACCAGGTTTTTTCTTTGGGAAAAATTCAACCACAGGAGGTCTCCAATGCCAATTTCGATGGGTTGAGGTTCGAAGCTGGTAGCGGAGTCACCTGGCGATCAGTATTGAAGCAATTGCAAAGATGCCCACAGAAAGTGCCCAGCCACGCTGGACTTGGGAAGTTCTTCTGAACCAACTTTTGTCTTAATCCCAACCTTTTTGACCCGTTATTGACAACGTCCAGGAGTGGGCGCACAAGGTTGAGCTCTTAGTGAACGTTCGCAGTTGATTGAACTTGCCACCGCATCATTCTCACCACGACCGGCTCTGCAAGACAAGTGGAAGACGTATGATCAGCAGAAGAAATGGATGGCGATGTGCGGATACCTGCCTTGTGCTTGAGTTCCAGAGAGCTTTGCTGGACACGGGAATTGAATTGGTTTCTATGTCTCCTATCAGGACGATGGTCGTCGTCTTGGAGAAGACTCGTTCCAGGTTCTGTCCAGTGGAACCGGGAAGGAGGTAGGAAGATCGTGTTAAAGGGTTCAAGACTAATTGCATCGTCCACGCTCGGAAAGAAACCTATGACTTGTATTGGTCGAAGAATGTTTGGAAGTAGCCAAGCAACTTGTTCCCAGCCAACGCCAAACATCTTTGCTTGAAGTCATGTGCTCCAAGAAGCAAGTTGACCCGGCAGAAGTTGAAGCAAGGCCTAAGCGAGACCTGAAAACCACAATTGGTCGCAGAAACTTGTTTTGCCATTTTGCGCGAGATGGCCAGAAACTTTACGGATCGAGTATGAACAAAAAGTGAAAGTGAGTTCCATTGCGAGCTGCTCCAGGAATCGCGCGTGCGTTTTTGCCGTGTGTTTTGGGACTGCTCTGCCGAAGACGAAGCTGAGCACTTTTGATTTCTGTCGCGTGGGAAGCCCGCTGTGTCCGAGGAACTGACCACTGCGAATACAGGCAAGGTTTCTCAGCTCGCATGATGCGCGCCCTCCAAGGCGCAGGAGGATCTTTGCATGTGCTTCCGGACCAGAAGCCGGCGCCAATGCATAGAAACGAGGGACCAGAACTAGCTAAACCAAGTGCAAACCAGCTGGATAGGGATTTCGGAGTCATAGTGACTGCCGATGGCGTAAATTGAGCGACCAGGGTAACAACTCTTTATATATGCCTTTTTACGTTGTGCAAAGTTCCTTTGACCATATTTCCCAAGATGCCGTCGAAGCTGTCCTTCATGGTTGGAGTTGTTGGGCAAGACCTCCTGGAAAGATTCTGGCCGATGCAGGAAGTGAGTTTCGCGCGATGCCTGCCATACCTTCTTGCACGAACATGATGTGAAATTCAGGACGATCGCTTCAGCAGTTCACCGGCAAAAGCATTCCGCCCCAAACGAACCACTGGTCAGGGCGCAAAGTTGTCTATTTACTGTATCTGGAAAGTTGGGTAGAAATCAGGGTTCAATTTGCAGTGAAACCACCACCTCATCACAAATCAGTTCGCGTTGAAAGATGCAGCAGAAGGCCTTCATTTCCGAAAGACCTGTTGTGAAGATGACAAAATAGTGATCCCCAAAAAGATAGAAAAGTTGCATCCTGTAAAAACTGGGTCAATTTCCCATCGCAGCTAGCTTTTCTATCTTTTGTCTCGTGATGCTATATGCGCAAAACCGTTAAAGAAACGTAGGGTGACCGCTGTCATACGCGCGCAATCTTGTAAATACTAGGGAGAAACAAAGGATATGCAGAAAAGTTACATCCTGGAAAGTGTTAGTCGGCCTACGGCTTAAAGCAACTTCAAAACAAATTGGTCCCAACGTGACAGACTTTCTCAGCAAAAGCTGACAACCTCCTCGTGGTCTTTGTGAGCCTATGGCAAAGGTGCGAAAGTCAGACCAAATATGACGAGCTTTAGTCTCTTGTTGATACTCTGCTGTGTGAATCCAGTTGCAGCTGACGGTTCAAAACTGCAGCGGGAAAACGAAACAAGAGAAGCCTTAGTTTGCTTTGCGTGGCTTTGTGGCCTGCTGACCTTTGCAATCCTGTGGGGTTGGTTGACGACACCGAATTTGCGCTCCAATGACGCCAAATGCATTCGGAGTGCAAATAAGAGGACAAAAAGCAAAACGGAAAAGACATTCAGAAGTTTTGCTGAACCTTTTTTCCTCCGTGACCGTGTGGTTTTCGTCGCAAGGTTTGTGGGGAAACAGAGGAAACCAGCTGTTCATAGAACAGCTTTGCGCTACAGACGGAGAGCATCGCGTCTGAGATGCTGCCGGCTTGCGTACAAGCTTTCGTACAAACCACGCCTGAGAAAGAAGAAAACCTTTCGCCCATCCAGGCAGTTGACTCGCATTGGTATTTCGCTTCCTGTGATTGACTTGATTGATACATATGTCCCACCGATACCTGAGTGTGAGCACTCCTTTGCATCTAGAGAAGCAATTCCTCACCGTTGGCTTGCGGATTCCTCTCTTCCCCCGAGAGGGTGCGGCAAAAACACATGCCGAATCATTCACTTCCACCGCTGCGGTCGGCAGGTCCAAAGTCTTCACTGACCTGCAGGGTGATATGATACGGGTTAGACGCAGCGCCAGAGCCTGCTGAGTTGGCTGGCGCATGTCCAGGAGCAGACGCTCCTGCAGCGTTACGGCCGAGTAGTGCCGTCGATAGGTGCTGTAGCAGCTCAAAGGCTGCAGCGCCGTGATGCCTATGTGGTGCATCACATTGACCGAGGTTTGTGACAGACGTTCTCCCATATACCAGCGCGAGACAAAAGATAGGCAAGTTCAGATGGTATCAAGCTCTTCTATTTCCCGGCTATTTGCGCAAAGTTTTTCAGCTAACGTTTTCCAGAACGTCGACGGCCAAACCGGGCTAAATTTTCCAGGACGTTTACGTCCTGGAAGCACTTTTCTACAGACTAGGATCATTCCCCGCTTTATCCACCGTTGTAGATGCAAGGCCTTGAAGAATTAGCGCGGCTTGAAGAGACACTGCAAACTGGAACAGAGGGAAGGGCTTGCTTTGTGGACTTGGCAAAAGCCTTAGCTGTCTCAGACGATCCTCCAATCTGCAGACCTCGTCAAACCAGCGTGAGAGCGGAGCAAACGAAGGGCCAGATACAGAACCATATCAGGCACTGACAGCCTCGATGTGAGGTGAACTATTGTCCGTCCTTCGCAGATCAAGATCTACCACCTCCAATTGCGGAAAGCGCCGCCAGAAAAGATCCCAGTGCCAGAAAGTGACGATGACCTCTGCTGTTGCTTCTGTCGCCCCCAAGACCAGATTGGGAGGTTTGAGGTAGAGTCCTGACTTCTGGCTCCTCGACCGATCTATGGGCAATGAGAAGATAAGACCTTGGGCGTGCTTCCACTTCCACCGGCGTTTTCATATTGAAGGGCGAACTTGAAGTAGAACACCCCAACCAACCCCTACCAACTCCTGACAGAAAGCGTGCAGAAACTACAAAGCAGAAAGACCGACTTGTTGACAGATTTCAAGCGTCTGTATGATCTAATCAGCGGAACCCCTCTCCACCCTAGGTTCAAACGTCGTTGGAAGGCAGTGGGTCGCAAAATAGCCCAGCCGCAGGGTGTCTTTTTGAGATGGGCATCAAGTGTCCAGACTGCACATCGCCTAAAGCAAATTCTGGGTGCAGCCACGCTCACAGGATCTCGCGTGGCATGGTAGTTTCGAAGTCATCAAAGCCCACAGCAGGAAGACCTAAGCAGTTGATAGGCAAAATGAAAAGCCAAGACGCTCTGGGATCTCAGACAGAGTGAAGCCACTTTTTGTGCTCAACGTGTCCATGTGCCATTCCAACCGTGAGCCGAAAACGATGCTCAAAATAGGTTGGTTTGAAGTTGAGAACCAAAACGCATTGTCCCGAAACAATTTCAAGCTGATGCAAATGGCAAAAGCTGCTTCAAGGGATAGATTGTTTTGTGTTGGCTCGGCAGTGGTGTGAGAAGCTATCTGAGGGCAGCTTTCCAGTGGCCACGGGAACGTATTGGACATATAGAGAATGTCAAATGCATGCTCGGTTACGTGTGAACTCAGAACCCGCTTCGGCCGCAAGATTGGAAGGGCTGGGGGTGGGTCTTAAGCGGTGTCGCCGTTTTCTGGAGTGAAGGGCATTTTGCTGAGGAGCTTGGAAGGATAAAAGGCTGTGCCTCGTTGAGGGTGCAGGGCACCAGGTATTTCTTTGAAGAACATTCATGTTGCACGTTGTGTTTTGGTTGGAGCCAGCCACCGGAGGCTTGCAATACCAGTTTCGATCCGTTTCAAAAGGTTGAAGATCGAAACTACTTTTCTAGTTTGAACTGTGCTATACATGACGTACAGGTTTTGATATATCCAAAGAAGCTGCGGTGGTAGAATTGTTTGGAAAGATTGAAGAATTCAGTTCAACGAAGGTGAAGAGTCTATCCTACAGGAACTACGACGCCAGTTGTGTGAGATGCGGGATTTCCTTGAGATCGAACTTTCCCATCATAGAGAGGTCCTGGACAATCTCAACAACCAAACGGCGAAGGCATCATTTCAATCGGCTTCCCGTGATGAGCAGTCGGAAGAGCAAGTGGATGAGAGTGAATGTGAAATTGAGGAAAGACAAAGCAACACGTTCTCCAACGATGTGGTTCAAACTGGCGAAAATATTCCCGCTCAAGCTGAGTCTGGTGGGCGGAGTTCCTTTGTAGAAGCTGCACTGCTTCCCATTAAGGCAAAAGCCCAGATGCAATCCTACAAGTTACGAGTCAGCAAAAATGCAGTTGCTGCGCGGCAGGAGGTTCTTGAAAAAACTTGGCGCACAAAGGTGAACGACACAGTCTTTTCGCCAGGTTTTTCTGGGTTCATTACCGTGCTAATCCTGGTGAATGTCATTCTTCTCGGTGTTGAAGTTGACGTCTCTGCTTCACTGGAATTGTCTGAGGTGCCCAGTTGGTTTGGCACAGTCAATGCAATCATCGTATTTGTGTTTGTTATTGAAATAGGCCTGAAACTGTTTGCATTGGGATGCCGAGAATTCTGGCGGGGCCGTGACGCTACATGGAATATCCTGGATTTTGTGATTGTGTCCATTTCGGTGGCTGATGTTTCTCTTGACCTTTTGGCGCACATGCTTTCCTCTTCGTCTCTGAACACCGGCCATTTGCGGCTGGTGCGATCGATCCGCTTGGCCCGTGCTCTTCGAGGCGTGAAAGTCGTACGTATCTTCCGCTACATCACTGCTCTGCGAACATTGGCTTTGTCCATCATCAGCACGATGGGTTCTTTGTTTTGGACTCTGATGCTGTTGATCATGGTGTTTTACTTCTTTGCGGTGGTGATTACCCAGCTGGTCACAGACCACTGCCGCAACTTAAGGAGTGAAACTGATGCGAAATGCTCGGATCTACTGCAAAAATACTGGGCTTCTGTTGGCGAAAGTGTCTTGCCACGATTATATTCTATTTCGGTTGTGTTTTTCCGGCGAAAGGGTGTTGGAGTCTATACTTCCTGATCGGGTCTGCCATCAGCATGAAGACATGGATTTTGAGGGGTTTCCCTTTCCTCTCAGTTCCTTCTGACTCTTGTCAATCTCCTTTGCTTCTCCTTCGCTGTCACGGATCTCTTAGATTCGTACATCTCGTCATTGCTGTATTCCCTTTGCCAAATTTAAGATGTTGACTTAAGCAAATGTGTTTGTTTGCAGGAGCACAAGGGGAATGTGAATGGGGCGAGCTATGCCGAATGTTGCAATAGTTCAAGGTGACCACTACAACAAACACTTATTGTCCTGGCACACCCATATGCCACATACCAACATAAGTAACACTTATTCCAAACACGGCCACATGGCTGGGATTTTGAGGACGTACAAGTTTTTTTGCAATTTTTTATTTGGTGCTGTGTGCAACCAAGGGCCAGTCCTCATTGCCCCATTAAACTGTGAAAGGGGCGGGGTGTCCCTCATCTCTGACAGATTTGTCAAGTTCAAAGTGATGACCGTCATTGCGCCAGAATACATACCGCTTGATGCGGTTGATTGGCTTAGGACTGCAAAAAGCACCCGGTGTGTCAATGTGTTGATCATTGAATTGTCCACCGGCTGTCTGAATGTGTTGAAGGCTGCAAACCCCCTATTGCTTTTGGAGTGGAGACGATTCATGTCTCGTTTCAACTCCCTGATGCCACCCGAAAGGAAATCTGAACGATTCATCGAGGGACGATGCTACCCTATGTATACATGTATAATTGTATATAGATTTGGGACACGCCTTGTGAGTCCCATCCAATTGAACATTCTCAACCATCTCAATGTGTCCAGAAGTCTTTCTTCCTTTTCCCCAGATAGCGAAGCTATGGGGTTCTTACTTCAAATAACAATGAGTTGCCCGTGCGCGCGTTCGAGACAGGTTGCTGGTGCTGGTGCCGGGTGCCGGTGCTGGTGCTGTGAGCTGGCTGTGCACGCTGGTGTTGTGAGCTGGCTGCGCGCGTGGTGGAGACAGGTTGCTGGTGCTGGGCGCCGGGTGCCGGTGCTGGTGCTGGTGCCGGGTGCCGGTGCTTTTGCTGTGAGCTGGCTGTGCACGTGGTGGAGACAGGTTGCTGGTGCTGGTGCCGGGCGCCGGTGCTGGTGGTGCTCGTTGTGTGCGTGGTGCAGAGTGGGTGCTGGTGCCGGGTGCTGGCGCTGGCTGTGCGCGTAGTGGAGACACGCCACGCTCTATTGCATGTAAAAATTGGAGCTGCTGCCAATGCAGGGTGCAGCCCATGTTTTGCATGCTTTTGCTATCTGGGGTCTATGTTGGAGTAATTTCTTGTGGCAGAACGACAAGACTAGTCCTTGTTCAGGCATGCTTGCTTTTTGCAGGGGTGGATCTTTCTCTTCTCAATCCCTTCAGATACAAAACCCCCCGGACCGACCTTCTCCCGCCACTCAGCCCATCCGGCCTTCGAGGCATGCTGACACTCTTCATGGCGATCACCAACGGTGTGAGCTGGGATGATGCGATTCGCCCGCTCCGAGAGTTTTCTTACGTCGCCGTAGCATTTGTGTGTGCCTATATAACAATCGCTGTGTTTGCCATACTCAACGCTTCTTGGTTTGCAATCAATTCAGCAGAAATTGCTTCGTGCTCTGACGATTCTTTTGCTCTGCTTACCGGACCCAAGCTCTATGAACAAAATTCTTCCTGCAATATGCAGGGGCTGCATTTTTGCATGGCTGACCATTTTTAGACAAAGTCTTTCCCACCACGACTCCGAACAAGAATGTCAGAGTAGTTTCACACAGCCAATGAATGAACACTTGCTACACACGAAGAAGGCTGCTCGGGCATGCTGACAGACAAACATTCCAGTCAAAATACACAGATATTGCCGGCGAAAGGCGGAGATAGATCATGGAGACGCTGTAAGACGCCCACAATTAACACTGAGGACATGCTACAATTCCTAGTACGCAAAACAAACTCTTTGTCCATGTGCTTGTCTTGGACAAGCCTGGCATGCCAAGCTTGAAGCCGCAAAATGACCGAAATGTACTTTTCAACTCGCTAGTAGGTTTGAGGCCATCGCTAGTAGGTTAAAGAAGATTGACTACTGCAGGCACAAGTGCCCAAGTGAGTCACGAGTGTGGTTGTGCGATGTTTTGTTTGGGAAATCTTTTTGGTCATGCGCAACCAAACCTCGACTCCAGTGAAAACCGATCAATCCCTGGAATTGTTACTGTTTTTGTTGCAGAACGCACATTAGACTTGTTTGGCCAAAGCTTCTTCTGTGAATCAGTAGTTTTGACAAAAGTCCTGATTCTCTCATGCGTTGTTTGCATTTTCACAAGAATCTGACTTGGTTTGCAAAGTCGTCCTCATCAATTGTGCATTTCATCCCTCGAGAGAGTGTCTTGCATCTTGCTGTTGTGTGTTCTTGTGATATCACACTCCTTTTTGGCCATGGGCACCATGGTAAGAAGAATACTTGACCTGTGGACATTAAAAACATGTTTTGGCATATCATATCACATGTTTCTCTGACGTTTCTGGATGCCTACTGTTTAAACTTGTTTGGACTTTCTTCAGCTTTGTGTTATGGACGTTTTGGCGCAAAAACATAGCTGTTGGGTTCCTCTCTTTGCACTGGATCTGTACCCTTGCTTGAGGCACTTGAGGCTCGATCACTTGCTTTCAGCAATCTTTCATTGCTAATTTTGATTTTGGATTGTTCTTGGATCATGTTTGTTGATGTTCTAGCTGAGGTTGTTACTGGCGTGTCTGACTTACAATAGTCAACTTTCAACCTTTTGTTGAGTCCTTTTCGTGTCGGTTCTTCCCCAAGATGCTCAGCTTTCTTTTGCCAAGTGATCTACCAAGCCAGGTTTTCTGCAATACCGCCATAGAGTCCGCCCACGCAGACAAAGAAGTGGCGACCATCAAGCAAGTCCACACAAAGGATCAACAGGCGGAAGACTACTGAGAGCAAGAAGCTACTGGGGCTCCTGGCCTTACTACTAGGAGCAAGAAGCTAGTAGGGGCTCCTGGCATCGCTACTAGGAGCAAGAACGCTACTAGGGGGCTCCTGGCCGTACTACTACCGAGCTGTTTAGACCCTTTGGCTACGACCGAGCGAACGGACTGCGTTGCGGGACCTGGGACCTGGGACCTGGTCAGGTGGAAGCCTTGCGCTCGGTCTTCCAAGAAATTGACAGCACCCACTCGAGTGAGGTGAGCTTTCAGGTGGGGATGTGAGCGAACGTGCCAAATCCAACCTGACAGACTTTCATTCCAAGCTGGATGACTGAAGTGGATGACTAGCAGTTGTTTGCTCTCCTTTTTTGAAACCAAAAGCCTGAGGAAAAAGTTCTGTAAAGAGTACTGGATTTTTGAATCACTGCATGACAAACTCCTCATCTGAGACGCATCAGGCTTTGTAACGGATCTTTACTTTTTCGCAGACTATTGGGAGGAAACATGTGTTTGGTTTTGCATTGGCATGGACGAGCTTATCCAAGAACATAGTGATGTGTGATGCTTGGAAGTTGGCCGACATGAGTGTTTGATGATTTTGTGTACGAGTATCAAGGCTCTGTAATGGCAATCCAGTAGTGTCAAGACAGGTCTTCCAAGGTTTATTGGATTCCTGGCCACCATATTTTAGTTGAGCGCAGTGTGTTGATCCATTGCCCCCTTCTCGATTCTTTTCTCTTGGAGACAACCTTGATAGGCTATTTCTTCAATCCAACACATATTGTATCATGCACATGTACACGTGCTTTCGCAGACATCTTTTGGAGAAATACACACGCATACTGGTACCATCGCATTTGCATGCTGCATCGCATTTGCAATGTTCGTATTTTGGTGGCACGTGGCCGGAAGATGTTAAGCCTTCATTTTTGCAGGGTCCTGTTAAGCCGAAGATGGGGGCTAAATGTCCACTTGGTTGGTTGAGCACTCATATGACTGTTTGAGCACTCTCTTGCTTATCTCAGCTTTGACAGCTTGAGTGGGTTGGATTTAACTTTTGCTTGCTCTTTCGCACTCTGACCCTGCGTTTTATTTTCCTGCCGTTTCTTTTTCCTGGTGCCGAGATGTTCGGATTGCTGTGGCGCACTTGCCGTTATATAATAGATCAAAGCAATGGTAAAGGCCCCCAGCTGTTGGCTTTGCGATGTTTAGATCAAGGCACGTGCCCAGATCAAGGCACATGCCGGAAGTGTCTGATTCGCCTTGCAGGACGTGCAAGATGCCATTTCGAGTGGTGAGCTTTCCAGCTTTATGGAAGCCATGGGCATCTCCACAGATGACATCTGGACCGCAGATTCAAAACCACGAGCAAAACAGATTCATGAACTAAGTTTACTTCGACATCGTTTTGTGGTGAAGACATGGTGCATATGTTCGTTTTCCGACTGCTCATGACTGTTCGTCGGTTCTCAGTCAAAAGAATGACATGATTTTGTTGCCTGCGATGCCATGATGTTGTGTTCTGGTCTCCTGACTTGGATCCTGTTCCATTTCAGACAGCTTAACTGTTGAGGTTCTTGGTTCTTTCATGGGAAAGCCATGGGAATGCCAGGCGTGTGTTGGAACTTAGAGGTAAGTGAAACCTTTGGTGAGTGGCTGTGCTCGTAGGGTTTTTTGGCCCTGGCCTAAGGGTGTGAGTTGGGGGGTGGCCCACAGATGGTGAATGTTAGATTCACCTTAGTTTGTGCGGCTGCAGCTCATGGTTGGTGGTTCGCACCGAACGCCACGGAGGTGATGGGTGAGGAACCTCCTACTGGCTGGCGAAGCCGCTTCAAGGCGGCATTTCCGGCTTGGGGCGAGCGATGGGAGAAGGTGGAGACAGAAGCCACCTCCTTCTACGCCTGGGCAGCTACAGGAGTAGAGGGAATGGACATCACCTCGTTCGACACAGGCCTATGGCTACTGGTGGACACGGTGGTGGGGCTCCTGGGGTGGTGCCTCTTCGGGTCATCGTGGCCCAACGTGAGAACCGGCTGCCGTAGGGTCATGCAGATCTCGTTGGTGCTCTGCGTGTCCCTCGTGGCCCACTACATCTGGGCCGTGTGCTATCCAGTGGTGTCCCTCTTCGTGGGCCTGGGGATGGCGCTGATCTGGCTATGCCGCAAGCTACTGCGGGTGCTGGGCGCCTCAGTTTTTTGGGTCCAGCGGATCACCGGGGCTTCCCCGAAGCTTCGGAGGCAGAGTTCCACGGACCGGGCACTGGGAGGACCCCTGAGACATCGCAGCTCAGGGCATTCAAGAGAACAGGTGATGCCAGCAAGATGATCGTGGTCAAGCGCAACGACGAGGTCGCGGTGTTGCAGGTGGGGGCGGAGAGTCAGTCCATCAAGGCCCACGGCCTCTACGTTCCAGTGGAGCCCGGCGCGGTAAGGGGATCAATGAGCCTGGTGAAGAAACTCAGGGCGGTTGATCGAATCCATCTTTGCCGCAACGAAGCTTGCGTGGAGGAAGGTGGAGAGCACTTGTGTTCCAGGCACTCCGCCAAATACATGGTTGAACGGTATAAGGATAAGTGTAGTGTCACTTCATGTAAGCGGGTTGGTTCTAAGTTCCATCATGGTGTCTTGTGGTGTGCCGAGCATGAGCCCCGGACAGCGCTTCGGACTCCAACGCCGCCTTCGCAAAAAGCTGACTATCTCCTCGCGGTCTTTGCGGGCCTATGGCAAAGGTGCGAAAGTCAGATCAAATGTGAAGAGCTTGAGAATCTTTTTGATACTCTGCTTTGTGATTCCGGTTGCAGCTCATGATGCAAAACTGCAGCGGGAGAATGAAACAAGAGAAGCCTTGTTTTGCTTGGTATGGCTTTGTGGCCTGCTGACCTTTGGAATCCTATGGGATTGGTTGACTCCAATGACGCCAAATGCATTCGGAGAGCAGAGAAAAAGAAAAACGCAAAAAAGAACAGGAATTCGTAAGCTCAGCTTCACCCTTTGTCCTCCGTGACCGTGTGTTTTTGGTCGCAAGGTTTGTGGGGATCCAGAGGAAACTAGCTGTTCGACAAACAGTTCTGCACTACAGACGGAAAGCATCACGTATACGCTGTCGCAAGCTTGCGTACAAGCTTTCGGACAAGCCACACCTCAGAAAGAAGCGGACATTTCGTCCATCCCGGCAGAAGACTCGCAGTGGCTTCGTGCTTCCTGTGATGGACTTGATTGATACTTTGGTTCCACAAACCTCTGAGTGTAAGAGGTTTTTGCTTCTAGGGACGCAGAAGCAGGTTGGCCTCAGCTCAGTCAGGTACTCAATGAACCTTGGGTTGCGCGCAACGAACCATTTGTGCCATGGCAACCTAGCAGTTTTCGCGATTCCTTTTTGGGAGGTGCAGGTGGAGCTCATACCACCCAAAAGAAACGCAAAGAACAATGCAATTCTGACAGTCCGACTTTGGCCGAAGTCTTGACCTCAGCTTTGCAAACTTGGAAGAAAACTCAGAAGGCATGTGGAGGCAGTAGACATGAAACTGCTTGGAAACGGCGAAAACGCCGTTCGCCAGCCATCTTCCAGGGCCAAGATGAAGATGCCTGCCAGCGTGGCAACGACCTCAGGCGACACCGGCAGGGATCTCGGGGCCTTCCCACTGTGCCACATGAAACACCTTCAGACCTTAACAAATAGATATTTTGCATCGCGCAAGCCGAGGCTGAACGCAGAATCCACAGTGGTTCTTCCCACCGTCGGAAGATCGTGAACCATACTCTGATACTGGCTTGGCAACGAAGTTGCTCCAGCTCCTGCAATCATGTCAAGCGAAAAAGATGGCAGATTCTGAAGTTGCAGATAAAGTGACTAAGGTTTTGCAATTCACAAGCCCAACCGAGGTGGCGCGACCAGACGTACTCCAGTTCTGTTCAGAACGCCCGATCGACTCGATGGCGCCAAGGACATACATCACAGCAAGTTGCAAATTCGTCACACGCGCAAATTGCAATCGCTACCTTAGTGAGTTCTGAATGGACTCAACCACCAATCCTCAAGCCTTTGACTTTGATTTGTCAAAGCAATAAAGAAGGTAGAGCTCTTGAGGGTAATATCGTAGAAGTTAGCGCGCCTGCTCAACACCAAACCATCACGACGCTTTGGAATAGTTATGGGTGCGAAGGTCATTTGACTTTGTTGTGCACTCACAAGAAAAGAAGAATCTTGGCAAACCAACCAGGGTTCGACTCTCCCGTGGCAAAAGGACCCCTCCATATTGAAGAAGTTGCTTTGGAAGTTTTTGGTGATCAAAAAGATGCTGTTTGGACCAAGCCCACCATCGCTGTGGAGAAAGGTAGTGTCACGGTAGTCAAAAGATGTAGCGTCCGCATTGCCGCGCCTCTTGAGTTCAGAAAGCATTTTTCGCCAACAGATCGAGACAAGCCCAGTTCAGTGGTGGCATCTCTGGCTCAATGGACATCTGTCAGTTCCTGATGATGAAGGTTACAGTATATTTCCTGTATTCCGGCTCCAACCAAACAGACATATGCAACTTGGCAAAAGTCAGTTCGCAACACCTGGCCAGGGAGTCAGGAAGACCATAAGCGCAAAAGCCAGGCGCAAGCTGAGGGGGAGGCTCCAAAAACTCGCGTTCAAACTCATGTGCCAACCACGCAGATTGACTCGTCCCAGCCTTCTCAAAATGATGCCGAACGTGCTCGCAGTCGCAACCCTGCACGGAAGAAAGAACAAGTTGACTCTCCGGAAAGCTTCGAATCGTTCGTGCCTTGCATTCCCACTTCGCCTGTTGAGTGTCTACAACAAAAGTGGGAAGAACAAGACCTTGGTGGCGACGGTGACTTTTTTACCGAAGTGTCGCTGCTTGTTTGCACAAATCGGCGGGAAAGACTGATATTTTCATCAAAGATATGGCCCGTTTGGCGGGCACCGAACTCCGTACTTGAGTGGTGCAACATGCGCAGAAACACAAACAGCGACTGACTAGCTGGTTTGCTAGTGATTCTCACGAGTCTCCAGTTGAGGGTATAGACCCCCTGCCAAGAACATAGATGAATGGATCAAGCTTCAACAACATCACACAACCTGGGCAGATGGACTGTCCATTCAGTGCCTTGCAGAAAGATGCGGCCAAGTGATCAAAGTTTTTCGCGAAAAAGATGGGATTTGGGAACGTTTCACTTTTGCTCCAGGTTTGAAGAATGATGCTGCCTTGGCTAAAAAGGGCAAAAAGCCACTTGTGGTGACTCTTGCTGAGAAGCACTACAAAGCGCTGCATCCTCCTAGTGATGTTGGCATTCCCAAGCCTTGGCCTTGGCGTTTGAAGACGGCAGTGTCCTTCATCATTGATCTGACAGGTGCTGGTAAAGAATGCCTTTCTCCGAGCCCTGCGTCCCTGTGTAGCTTTCGTACTCGATCGGTTCGACTGCCTCGAGGATCCCCACACTTTGTCAAGCAATGCAGTGTGGCTAGTCACACTCCTTCCAAATTGTGCAGTGTGGGTAGTAAGACTCCGAATAGTTTGCATTCCGTGCTCAAGAGCGCCTCCAAAGCACGCGCAGTTCAAACCAAGAGTTGTAGGTATGTTTCGCGGCCGTCCGCGCCAAGCTCTCAGACCAGTTTGACCTCTGGGTTAAATGGTGCTGCAGTTGGGAAGGGCCGCCCGCGTCAGCGGCTGTTTGGCAAAAAGCCAAACCCTCATGCCCCAGGATCATCGGAGCCTCACATTCTTGGAACGCATCGGCTGGCCTTCAGCTTTGGTCTCGCAGATGCGACAAGTTTGGAGCACCAGCCGGTTCATCGAATATGACGGACATGTGCACTCGGAAATCTTGAAGAGCAATGGTGTCCCGCAGGGCTGTCCTTTGGCGCCGCTCACATTGGCGTGTTGGATGACGGCAGGACACAGAAGCGTCAACACTCTCCTGCATCAGCGCTTTGGTTTCTCCCAGAGAGAGGTCAACGAAGCAGATGTCGCATCTACATGGACGACAGGTCTTGGGTCGACAGTGATTGCGACCGTGCTTTGTGCCGTGCCCAGGCTTGGAATCTTTGGAGCGCTTCGGTGGGTTTGACCGAAAACATGCACAAAGCCCAGATGCTGGCCAAGACTCGGCCGCAGGCCCAGAGGCTTCTTTTTGAGCACCCTGATTGTTTTAGGGAGCACGCTGCCAAGGTCTTGGGTTGTAGTATCCGAGCACATCCGGCTGCGGATACGGCCTCGGAATCTGGTAGGATTGATGCAGCAGTCAACCGGGCAAGGCTTTTAGGATGTTTGCCGGCGCCTTACACCAGACAACTTGATCTTTACCGAACGTATGTCCTTCCCAAAGCCTGCTTCGGGTGGATCAATCGTTTTCCACCACAGAACACTTGCAATAAGCTGTTCAACGCTCTGAGTCAAATGTCTCGAAAATATCGTATGGCCAGTCCTTTGACCAGAGCTGTGTTGTATGGAGGCAATTCGCACTTGAGCATGGTCACCGCTGTCCGTTTCTTGAAGCGACTCTGCCGCGTGCGGCGCAAACGTACAGTGATGTGGAGTGACCTGCCTGGCGCTCCAACCAAAGCCTTTCGTCAGTGGATGCAACAGTGTGACTGGATTGAAACTGGCCCTTGGACTTGGACGCGGCAGCCACTCACGCTGCGTGTGCCTGCCAACGGTGAAGCCGACGTGGCGGCGCACCAACTTCGTGACGCTTGGCGCAATTCTCTCATCCTGAAATGGAGCAAAGCACCCCGGCATGAAGCCCAGCAGTGGCAGAATGAAGCCAGCTTGGCGATCTGTGGAGCAGTCTGGACAGGACTCGGAAGCGAGCGGATGGAGCGTGGTGGATGGGGGCTTGTCCCTCCCCTGTCAGCTCTTCGATTTCAAAAACGCCACATGGGCAATGCTCGAACCATTCCACACCGGCGAAAGGGGCCCGGGCTCAGTACATGGTGAACATCGAGGACGTGATCGTCGCAATGAGGTGGAGGAGAAGAAGCCAGTCCCGCAGATCGTCCACGGCTATCCAGAGTCAGACGGCCGAGCTGGGTTTTGGGTAGGCGCCCTGCCAACAGGTAGTAACATGGAGGACCTTGTTCCTCTTAAAGCAGCAGACTCAGGATTATCACTTTGAATGCTCAAGGATGCCCAGGTGCTTGCTGCCCTTCGGCTTTGCGAGCTAAAGCTAAAGCCTTAGGTTCCGAGCCTTCCAAAGAAGCAAAAATCGCACAAACTTTTCTTGCACCACGCAACTGCAATGTGTTCCCATTTTGGGGCCTGTGCTTTCGCGACGGCCGCTGCAGCCCCCCGAGCCTAATTTGCGTTGGTTGACCAGATCGCAGGCCTTCCACCCTCAAGTGGATGCAGGTGCAACGGGACCCATCTACCACCTTGGCGTAAGCCATAAAACGCGTGGCTTGGTCACTACGATCTCTTGGCGGAAACGTTTGGTTGTGATTGGGTTTCCTCTTGTGTTCTAGCCTCGAAAAAAATCATCCCTCTGCAACTTTTCTCTTCTTAGGGGTGGTGGGAGTTTTGTGGGTCCTCATATGAGATGAAGGGTCTCCAGGGGTGGGCGCGAAATAAATTTTGGACCGACCTGCGACTGGCACGAACATTTGGAAGGTGACGCCTGAATCCACCCTATGTGAAACCCAGCGCCAAGACAAGTACACATGTGAATTAGCACGTGGTTGGTTGGAGCGGTCCTTCTTGGACAAAGTTTGAACGGTAGCAGCAGTAGCGGTCTGTTTCAGGAGCATTAAGGGGTCCTGTTTACCGATACGGCGACCACCATCGGCCATGTCAACATGGCGCAAACGCAAATTTAAAAGAATTAAACGTCACGCATCCAAATCAGCCTTTTCACCACATTGCCTTGAACCGGACACTGTGACTCCACCTGTGGTCCCATGGGGCGCTCTGGTCCGGGGCCTCGGAGAGGCGGCCGCTCCTCATGGTGTCGGCGGTGGCTCTGGCTACTGACTTCAGTCTGGTCCCACTGGCGGAGCAGGGCCGGAGGCACCTGGACCTTTCCGGGATGGGCAAAGGTCGCTTGGGGGCGGAAACCATGCGGCTGCCGCAGCTGCAATCGCTGCAAACAGGTTTCCTCGAAGGTTCGCTAAGACTTCTCGACTTCTCGAGGCATGCCTCTCACCGTCCACAAGACAAGCTGGATTTCAGATCGCAAATGGGTTGAATCTGACTTTAACCGTTAACCTTTTTCTCGGACAGTTATTGTCTGTCTTCCCTGTAGCTTGCATTTGGTTGCCAGCTGTTGCCGGGCCAGTTTCCTTCTTTGGATTAAATTTAGAGTCATCCTATTTGGTTTCACCATCCCATCAGTCATGAGCTCAGAATTGAATCTTTGCTATTTCCCATGTCTTTCCGTGGCTCAGGGGGCTCACATTCAGGTTTAACCTGATTCCATCAGACATGGGCCATGACTTGATTTCAAACCATGTAGAAGTATCAGTGTTCAGACAAGGTTAGCTAGATTCAAATTTGAGCCATAGTGGCTTTGTCAGGGAGGAGCTTAGACTTAAAAACCATCACTACTGAATGGATGGGGACCAACCATAAAGCCAGGTTAAGTCGAAGTTTAAGCCTTTCTTGAATCTGAGAACCATCCCATCCCCAGCGTCCACTGAGCATTACGGCGCTTGCTGAGCATTCGGCTGCGTAGAAGTGTTAGGACAAAATGGTTCGCGCGCAATGGCGTGCAAAGTACTGTTTCAGACGAAGTTGTGCCTTGTTTCTCAGATAGAGATAGGCAATATTTTGTTCCAGAGAAAGGCAGAATCTCAAACAAACCTGCATTTGACAGGACTTTGTGCATGCTTTTGGACGCCGACAAGAACGGCCGGATCGACTTAGATGAGTTTGTTTCGGGCTGCATGCAGTTGCATGGACCCGCGAAAAGCTTGCAGTTGGCAAAGATGAGCATGGAAAATAAGTTTCTGGGCTACAAGTGTCAACCATATTTCACGGGGACTCCCAAAACCTTTTCTTTGCTTCTGCCACGCTTGCCAAGTTTTTGGGGCTACACAAATACTACACAAACCAGTTGCTCGGAACAGCTTGCTAGACTTGCATGTTGGGACGGTCCTTGGAATCGATTCGGTCACTGCCAAGGTTGACTCGCAGGGCGATCAGGACCCTCACCGAGGTGAGGGGGTCCATCTCTGTGTGTGTGGGTTTGACCGCACCGGCGCGGTTCGCGTGGCTTGTACAGTCTGAAGTGGATGGGTTCATTTGACTTCAATAAGTCTGTTTCTGGATTCTTTTTTCCAAGAGTCCAACATGTTCTGCCTTGTTCCTTTGGCCTTTTGGTGACAGGAGATGTTGGATTTGAAAAGTTCTTTGAGGGGCACAAGATCTGCCGCCGCCCCTCGACGAGAGGTGTTCTGAGATCTCTGAAGTCATGATATGCATTCTTTCTTAGCACTTTTGAAGGAGAATCCTTTCTAAAGCAAAGTTTCACGTGTCATGTTTGAGTTTCAGCATGTTGGCTTGGATTTCCTCAAAGAGGATCCTTCCTACTTTGATTGAATTGCAAAAAATACTTTGAGCGGATGATGCAGCTGCGCAGAATTGGGAGAATGATACGACTCGCTCGATTGTGTGCAAATGTGTTGCCATCCCTGACTCAATGACATTTCAACACAACATCGCTTAGCCGGTTCCCATCCAGATGTTTCAGCTCGAAGAAGGTAGAGAGTGAGTAGAGGGATCCAACCATGAATGAAGTGAGAGTGTCAGAATCAGAAAGCATTGGAAGCTTGTCCTGACAGGGTTGGATTCTTTTATGTATTTTCAAAACGATGATTGTGTTTTCAATGATCGCAGCAAGCACCGTGTGTTGGCACTTTTGACGCTCAGGCTTGGACCTGCAGAGTGGATTTCGAGAATTGATCAAACAGTTCGCAGAGATGCGTGAGTTCTTGGAAGTGGAGCTGGCTGTCCACCGTGACCTTTTGGAAAGAGCAGGCAGTGGATTTCAGCCAGAACATTCAGCTCCTGTCTCACCAGGTGCATTTGCATGTCGAACACGCAAGAGCCAAGAGAACCCAGGATCTCCAGGACTGACCTCCTCGAAGAGCAAAGTTTTGGTCGTTGACAGATCATCGACTGCTACGCTTGGATCTATTGCCGAGGACAAGGATGAGCGGAGCGAAGAGTTTTTTCCAGGCGTTTCCCCTCGTATCCTCAATCAGAAATTGAAGTTCAAAGAACATGGCTCTCGACACTCGCTGGTGGGGCAGTCAATGGAACCTTACAGAGCCAGAACCCAAAAGCAGGCGGCAAAGCTGCGTGTCAGCAAGCATCAGGTGAAGATCAATATGGAACAGAGGAGCACAGACTGTCGTTCCCTGGTAGCGACCATCGTTGGTTCCCCAGTCTTCACATTAGCGATTACCATGCTGATTCTGATCAATGTTATCCTGCTGGGAATTGAAGTGGATGTCTCCGCAAACATGGACCTCACAGAGGTTCCTGGATGGTTTAGTACAGTTAACGGAATTATTGTGGGATTCTTTGTCTTGGAGATGGTCCTCAAGTTCATTGCGCTGGGCTTTCGCGAATTCTGGTGTGGCCCAGAAGCTGCTTGGAATGCTTTCGATTTTGCCATTGTTCTAGCATCAGTGGTTGACTTGATCATGGAATTCCTGGCATATTTTGGCTCATCCACCATTGACACGGGCAATCTGCGGCTGGTCAGATCCATACGCTTGGCCCGCGCAGTTCGGGGGATCCGCGTGGTCCGACTCTTCCGCTATATCCCGGCGCTGCGCACGTTGGCCGTGTCGATCATCAGCACCATGGGCTCCTTGTTCTGGACGCTGATGCTGTTGGTTCTGGTGTTCTACTTCTTTGCGGTGGTGATTACCCAGCTGGTCACGGATCATTGTCGGGACTTGGCCATCCTCGATAGCAGCAGAACATGTCCGGAGCTGCTGAAGAAGTATTGGACCTCTGTTGGGGAGAGTGCCTGGTTCTTGACGCATCAACATGTTTGGGGGGGTAGCTCTTTCTCTTCAGCAAGGTGCTCAAGATATTCTGTAGGCCTTATTGTCACGGAAGTGCACCCTTGAACTCCGGATCGCATTGAATCTAGAGAGTTCTGGGAAGGGCGAGGGCGGAGCTCTTTTTGTCACTACCTTTTCAGGCCGTCGATGAGAAAAAGGCCTGTGCAGCCCAGAGTAGCGAAATTCGATTATGTTGACTGTTGATTCATGACCGGCAAACTGACTGGTGCTGAGCAAGGATCGAGGGAATGGATACAAAGGTATCTATTGTGGGGATCGTTCCCTCATTCCCTACTGAGCTCCAGTCAGCACATGGTTTGACCATCCAGGTAGGGGGTGTTACGAGTCAACATTAGGCTTTTGGGTGCGAGGTATGCTGACTCTCTTCATGGCCATTACCAACGGCGTCACCTGGGACGATGCCATACGCCCGCTGAGGGACGTTTCATTTGTAGCAGTGGCTTTAGTAATTATGTATGTGACCTTCGCGGTATTTGCCATACTCAACGCTGCTTGGCTTCACTTGGCTTGGTCGATTTTGAGCCGAAACCCGCATGATGGATGCATAGCGCGAACTTGCCGCAGTGCGGGTAGGGGCTAGGCAACAGATGTATCTTTATTGCGGATGGCCTAACAGTCCTTCTGCGTCGCGGAGACCTCAAGCGTGACACATGTGACCACGCGTCCCGTGCATCCAACCATCCACCAACTGAAAAGACATCCACAAGTAGTAGTAAGAATGCTACTAGTAGTACGGCCAGGAGCACGCTAATGAGTAGCGTCCGAACGCTCCTAGTAGTACGGCCAGGAGCCCTAGTGTATGCCCATGCGAGAACCCGAAGACTGTATCGAAAAGAATTTCATTGGGTGTAGACTCGTGGTGGCGACAGTCTATTTATGCAGCGCACCCACCAACTACAACTACACCCATGCAGTACACCTACATGAGACGCTTCAGCATCTCCTGTGCTAGCCGATTTTGATGGGCGGCGGACAGAGTGCATGTGAGGACATACACGGGCACGTTGTCTATGTAATGTATTGAATTAAATAATGTTTGGTAACTTTCGGTTGTCAATACGAGTTATGCAGGTGTCTGTTCTCCGGCTGCTTTTGTGCTTTTAAGGTAGCTTCATTCATGTGTCTTGCAACACAAAATGGACGACCTTGTCGTGCAAAACTGAGACAGGATGATAGACAGAATGTAAGTTCTGCTGACTAAGGGTTCTCACGCTCTCCCGGTTTTCATTCAATAGTACCTACTGTATATGCAACATGACTTATGAGAGGAGCTTTCATGTATTTGTGCCTGTGGCCTCGGCGAAGAATCGACTTAGATTGTTTAGTGAGTGCCAGTTCCAGTTCCTTCAAATCACACCAGCAATTATTCGTTTTGTCCCAGACTCATTAGGTATTTGCACTCCCAGTTAGTTACTCTCTGGTGCGAGCGTGTATTCAAAGTGCCTGTTTAGTCAAACTGTCACGATGTGTTTAGTCGAAACTGCGTCCATGTGTTTTGGACCTTTCGTGCGTGGACGTTGCTGGAGATGTTTGGAGTCACTCTCGGCTGCGGTGGTCCTGACTCTCGCCGCTGCAGCGCATGGTTTGGAGGTGCTTGACTTGTCGCACGGCGGAGTGTCCGATCAGAGAGTGGAAGACACAAACATGTCCGTCCGAAAGAGTGTCGCACGAGGTCCAAGAGTGGCCTTGAACATGTGTCACGTGCGAGTGTTCTACAAGAGTGTCACGCGTGTCGAGTGTCGAAGAGTGCCCAAGAGAGAGTGACCATGCGACACTCGAGGTGTTCAGATTGTGCTGTGTTCGGGCTCGTGGGTTCTATCTTGTTTCCAATCTCAGACGTGCCGGCCAAAATGTTCACCTTACGTGGGTTTTGTCAAGAGAGAACCAAACAACACATTCCAATGACACAGCTACATGCAACGTCTCAAAGTACCACAGTGACACCCTAGATCTCAATGGCATGTCGCGTCGCCAGACTTCACAAAACACTCTTCACGGTTCGTCGCACAGATCGGACTGCGTTGCCGGGTGCGTTGGACCATGGAGTGGCCTCGCAGTTCTTGAGGGGAGCGGTCAGCGGTTAGGCATGGTCAGGCGGTAAGACGGTTTTGAGAATGTTTTGACAAGCATTTAGAGAACACACTACGGTCAAACCGCCGAACCTTCCATTTGTTTGGCTTTAACATCCGACCACAAGGTCTTGCCTTTGTTTGCACGCGTGCATTGGGAGTGCTTTACGGTATGATCAGCGCTCCAAAAACGGAGCCTTTAACGAAAAATCATCTTCTGTTAGATCCCAAAGCACTCCCAAAACGGAAGCCCAAATCAAGTGGAACATTTACAAGCCTTAGTGTCAGGCATTGGCAATGATGAAAGACATATGCTTTTGTGGAGTGCCTTGCACAGTTGCATATCGAACTCCATGGCGGCGTGATTTGGGCTTGCAGTGCGTTGGGAAACAGTCGCTGTGTCGTGGATGTTGCAGGTCTTCAAGAGCACGTTTGTTGGGGTTTCGCTAATACGGTGCTGCGCTTTGTGGTGGGCAGCTCACCACATGCACTTTTCCCCACTACACTCACTACACTTCACCGCATCCTCACTCAGTCACCAACCGTCGCATTCGGAAATGACTGCGCAAACCACTTGCCGTTCGTGGTGTTAAATTCACCACATTGCATACAGTTTGCTCCGTAGCCATTTTGGCTCAAGGACCTCCGCACAAACCTGCAGTTAACGCCACAGTGACTACCCGTGACTACCCTCAGTCTTCCAAAGATGTAGTGATCTTACTGAGACAATTAATTGCCATAGTTTTCAAAATTACTATACAAAGTTTACTAAGTTGCTTTCTAACGTAGTATATATATATATAAGTTGAATTGCTATATAGTAGCCTTTTTGGTAACATTTACCACCCGTAGTAAACCGCAAAGAGTAGTTCTTTTTTTCATGCAACGCATGAAAGGTGTCATTTTTTATCTGACAAAGAACTAATGTTAATGTTCTATGATTAGCTGTGGGCTTTACTTAGGACTTAGGACAGTGTGGAACACTACTTGGGTCTTGAGGTTGTGCAGCGTTACCTGGGTCTTAGCGTTGTGAGTTTGTGCAGCTTGGGGCTTGGCATGTTGCTTGTGAGCAGTGCAGCCTTATGTGTGCTGTAGAATCTGTAAGTTTAGGTAACCATTTGTCAATGCACCAAACCCCTGCTTAGCATGAGTGGTTGATCATAGCAAAAAGGCCGCCTTTCAAAGAAAGGCACCTGCTGAGCTTGTGAAGGAAAATGAGCTTTTGGTACCCTGCATGTTTTCAATGACAGTTTGAGAGAACTTGTGAGAACTCAGTTTGGTATCTGGCTTGTGTAGGTTGCTGTTACGGGGATGTTTTTGATATACTGGAGTCTACTTGAGATGCTGGGGTTTTCAATGCTTGGGATGCGAAAGCACTTGACACACTCTTGACGCGATTTTGCTGCACTTTTTGGTTTTCACAACACTACAAGACTTGCCATTAGTCATTTTGTAAATTATCTTCCATCTTGAGAGGACCGAGGGTAGCACCTTAGCAAGCGGGTCCACCAAATCTTGAGCAAGCATTGTGTGGGTTGTCC